CCTCCACGGCCCTGCAGGGGGCCATAGTGGCCGTGACGGGGGACGGGGTGAATGACTCCCCTGCCCTGAAGAAAGCGGACATTGGCATCGCCATGGGCATCGCCGGCTCAGACGTCTCCAAGCAGGCAGCCGACATGATCCTCCTGGATGACAACTTTGCCTCCATCGTGACAGGCGTGGAGGAAGGTGCGTTCCCCACAGGAGCCGAAGTGGGGGGGGGGGATGCCAGGTAATTTTTCTGTGGGGGTCCCACTCCGTTTCATCCCCCAACAGGCCGGCTGATCTTCGACAACCTGAAGAAATCCATCGCCTACACGCTGACCAGCAACATCCCCGAGATCACGCCCTTCCTCTTCTTCATCATCGCCAACATCCCGCTGCCCTTGGGCACCGTCACCATCCTGTGCATTGACCTGGGCACCGACATGGTGAGTCTGGCCGGCTTCCTTCGCGGGCTTCCAAGCTGAACCCCCCCCCAGCCTGAAGGATTCACCGCGTTCCCCCCTCCTCCCCCCTCCCCCACTTTAGGTTCCCGCCATCTCCCTGGCCTACGAGGCGGCCGAAAGCGACATCATGAAAAGGCAGCCGAGGAATCCGAAGACGGACAAGCTGGTGAACGAACGCCTTATCAGCATGGCCTACGGGCAGATTGGTGAGCCAGACCCACTTGGGTGTCAGAAGAGGGGGGGCTCTGCCCAGGAGCTGACACACCCCCCACGTGTGTCTCCCCAGGCATGATCCAAGCCCTGGGGGGCTTCTTCACCTATTTTGTCATCCTGGCCGAGAACGGGTTCCTGCCCGCCACGTTGCTGGGCATCCGCCTGGACTGGGACGACCGCTCCAAGAATGACCTGGAGGACAGCTACGGCCAGGAGTGGGTGAGTGGGGAGGCGCTGGGCCAGGGGCAGCGCCAGGGGACCGGCGCCTGCAGGAAGGGTTTGCCAGGCCGTAGCTGGAAGTGGGCAAGGGGCGTCTGCCCCTCCAGGCGTCCCCACCGGGCGGTGTCTCTTCCCTCCCGGCAGACGTACGAGCAGCGGAAGGTGGTGGAGTTCACCTGCCACACGGCCTTCTTTGCCAGCATCGTGGTGGTGCAGTGGGCCGACCTGATCATCTGCAAGACGCGCCGGAACTCCGTCTTCCAGCAGGGCATGAAGTGAGCGCAGACGAGGCAGGCCAGGTGGCCTTTGGGGAGCCCTCCTTCCCCCTGAGGCCACCAGAGCAGCCCTGTCGGGTGGTAGACTGCGCCTGCCCACGGAGCTCCCTCTGCCGCCTCTGAGCCTCCGTCTCTCGCTCCCCCCCCCCCCCCAGGAACAAAATCCTGATCTTCGGCCTCCTTGAAGAAACCGCCCTGGCTGCCTTCATGTCCTACTGCCCTGGGATGGGGGTGGCCCTCCGGATGTACCCCCTCAAGTGAGTAGGACCGCTCCCCCCCACGTCTCCGGCCCCTCTGCCCTGCGCCCCACAGGCAGCCCCCCCCCTGAGCCATCCCTCCCCCCCTCCTCTTGCAGGGTCACCTGGTGGTTCTGCGCCTTCCCCTACAGCCTCCTCATCTTCAGCTACGACGAGGTCCGGAAGCTGTTCCTGCGCCGCTACCCCGGGGGTGAGCCTTCCCCCCCCCACGCCCCCCCCCACACCTTTCCCCAGAGGGGCCCTGGGAGAGAGGAGGGGGCAGGTGCACCTCCCACCCCCTCCTCTCTCCCAAGGCACAGGGTCTTCCAGGTGGCGCTCCCAGCCTCTTTGCAGAACCATGGGCTTTGGAGTCCTGCCTTGGGGGGGAAATGATGGGGGGTTGCAACCTGAGGGAAGAGAGGCTGGTTTGAGGGCAGCGAGTGGGGGGGAGGCTTCCTGCTTGCAGCTCTCCCCCCCCCCATCTCTCTCTCTCTCACACACACAGAGAGACAGAGACAGCGCCCCCCTCTGGCCACTGACTGCCTGCTTTCCTTCCTTCGCAGGTTGGGTGGAGAAGGAGACGTACTATTAACCCCCAGAGAGAAGCCCGGAAGCCCCCCGGGATCCAGCCCCTCGCAGCCTGTAGCCCCCCCCGTAGCAGCTGAGAGATGCAATAAACCTAACCCTGCCACCCCCCCTCCCCCACGCCTGCTTCTTTCAGGAAGGACCCCCGGGGGGGGGGGCTGGAAATGGGGCTCTGCCCCCCCATGGTTGCCAAGGGGCCTAGCTGGAGGCCCGGGGAAAGAGGGCAGAGGTGGGGCAACTGAAGCTTTGGACTGGGGGGGAGACAGTGGAGCTGGTGGCCCCTTGGACCCCCCTCCCCGGGGAGAGTGGCCCCGTCGTCCTGGCCTTTGCACGGGGGGGGGGGGGCATCCGGGCCTTCTCTACCTCTGAACAGACGATCCTTTCCTCGCTTCCTCAGGATGTCGGCCTCAGACGTCAGAAAAGGAGGATTATTTGGGGAAGGGGGGGGGGCTCCTGCACCAACCACTTGGGGCCGGGAGGGAGACAGTTCCCCGGATGGGCTGCTGGGGCTCCATGTGGCTGCTTGACCAATGCAGGAGAGGCCCCTCCAGGAGGGCCCCCCTTTGCTGACCCCCAGAGCAGGCCTTAGGGGCAGACCCTCACCCCCCCCTGCCCCCCCCCCCCGTGGTGTCCTGGGGCCCAGGGGCCTCTGGGGGAGAACAGCCAGGCAGTGGATTAAAGGGAAGCTGGTGGGTCAGCAGAAAGGGCCGAAATAGCCCCGGCTGACTTCAGCCCAGCCACATCTGGCACCCGTTCAACGGCGGATTAAAATAACCGCAGCTGCTGGACGGACGGACAGGCTAAAAATAGCCCCCAGGGCATAACTTGCCTTAAAGACGGCCGAAAGCCCAGCCCCCCACCTGGCCGGTCCCTCCCCCCCCCAATCTTTAGAGGGGCGGGGCCCCAATTTGGGGGTGGGGGTGTTTGGGGAGGGTCCGGACTTCCCACAGCCGTGGAGGGTGTGGTGGGAACTGGGAAGAGTGCGGAGCGTGGCCTCCCCAGTAACGTTCGTCCTGCAGGGAGTGATGCCCCCCCTCCCCCGTATTGGGCCGTCTTCCCCTTCAGCCACTGTGAAGGTGGTGGGGAGGGGGGTTTGGGGCCTCTGGGGGTCCGGCTCTTCCGCCACACCCGGAAATTCCTGGGTTTTGCACCCAGGCGAAGACTCAAAAGAGAGAGAGGAAAAAAACCTTCCCCAGAAAAGGGGGCCCTTTGGGGGCTTGGAGGGGGGGGAGAGACGGGCTCCGGGGCTGTCCAGGGGCCGTGGGTTCTGCCAGCCCCTCATCAAGAGCTTCGGACGGGGGAGAAGCAGGTGGCCTTCCAGCCCCCGAGCCTCGCGGAGGGCCTGGCCCACTTCGGTTCTGCAGCTGAAGTGCGTCTCCCGTGATGAAATGCCCCCCCCCCCCCCAGCATGGCACAGGGAGAAGGACGTGCCAGCTCTGCCCGCATCCGGCTGGCAATGTGGAGCGGAGACTTCGGGTCACCTCAGCGTTCCTGTCATCTTCCCAGGAAGAGGAGGAGGAGGAGGAGGAGGAGGAGGCTCTAAATCACAAGTGACAGCTGCCTGTTTGTACACAGAGCCCGGGCACACGTGCGTGCGTGCGGTCCCTGCTGGCAGGCGGAAGGGCTCACCTGCGAGGCAGGACGCCCTGGGACCACAGCCAGCTGGGCCAGGCCAGCAACTGGGGCCGAGGTGAGAGCTGCCTCCACCTGCCCCACAGCTCCCCTCTCTGTGCAGGGAAGGGCCCCTCCTGCAGGAGCTGACCAGGATGCCACACACCCCCCAGACAGAGGCAGGATCCCCTGAAGGCTGAGTGCGCCCCCCAAATTAAACCCAAGCACTGACCTTGAGATCACCCCCACCCCACCCCGACCTCTGCTCTGCCCAGCATCCCTCAGCCAAGGCGGAGCCGGACGCCCAGCAGCTCCTGGAAGGTCCACCCGGTTCCTGCCCGCTCCTCCGACTTAGAGGTGGTGGCTTGGGCAGAGCCGGGGAGGGCAGAGGGACGGACTTTCCATGCTGGGCAGGTCCTGAGGGCTCTTCGTGGAGAGGCCCAGCTTTGCCAGAGACCAGCCCCTATGCGCCCCACATGAATGGGGCAGCCCACGCCTGTGTTTCAGGGCCTGCCCAGGAGGCCACCCACAGTCAAACGCACCCTCCGTTTGGCCAGGGCTTCCCAGGGGCCCAGGAGTGGGACCCTCCCTGCACTTAATGGAGGGAGGCCGGCCAGCGGAGCCTTCCTCCCTTCCTCCCCTGCCCGGACCTCTCCCGGGGCAAGTCTGCCCATCGGAAGCGGCTGGAAGGCCTGGCCCTCTGCCTGTGGTACCCAGGGGGAAGGCGGCCTCTGCCTGAGCTGCTCTCGGCCTCCCAGCGCTGATACGTCTTCTGGATGCCCTCGTCAGCTGGAGATGCCTGGAAGGGGGAAGGAGCGGCTCCCTGACGCCCCCCCCCCCCCCCGCTCAAAGGCCCTTACCTAACTGCCCCCTGTAACTCAAGAGCCTCCAGGCATCTGGCGCCCCCCCGCCCCTCTCTAATTTCCCTGCCATCCGCAGAAGCCGGTCTTGATTTACCTCCGAGTCATCTCCTCTTATTTTTAGCCAGCCCTCCTTGCCCTGCCCCACATGCCTCCTTCTCTGCCCCCCTTCCTTAATATGGCGATAAGGAGATGCCCTCCAAGGCAGGCTGGGGGGCGGGGGGAGAAGAGGGGAGAAGGCTGGAGGGACCCACCACAGGAGGGGAGCCCGGGCCCCGGCAGCCCCTGTGCCAAGGGGGTCCAAGCGGGACTTTTGGGGGGGCTGGCCCTCCCCATCGAACGGCCCGCTCCCTACCTTCTCCCCATTGACATATATAGGCAGGAGCAAGAGGGGGGCCGGCTGGGGACGCTGCCAAATATCTGTGGATAAGACGGCCCTCCGGCCCCAGAGCCCTCCCCCCCCACCCGAGGGTCTTTTATGCACTGCCTGGAGCTTTGCTCCTCCGCCTTTGGAGCTCCTCGCCCCTCCGTGTGGTGGTCACCCTCCTCGGCCACTCCGGGCACCTGCCTGTGTCAGCAAAGAGCCGCCGGCCAGCCAGCAACCGGCCGCCACACCTGACAGGGAGAGGGAGGGAAGGCAGGAAGGGAAGCCCAGGGCAGCCTCCTCTCTCTCTTTCTCTCTTTCTCTCTCTTTCTCTCTCTCCTCTTGGGGAAGGATCCCCGGAGCCCCTTCGCGGCAGGATGAAGTGGCTCGGCCTGACCTTGGCCGCCCTGCTGCTGGCCTTGGCCGGCCCCGTGGCCCGTGGCGAGGAGGGCCTGGATTTCCCCGAGTATGACGGCATCGACCGGGTGATCGACGTCAACATGAAGAACTACAAGGGGGTCCTGAAGAAGTACGAGGTCCTGGCGCTGCTCTACCACGAGCCGGTGGGGGAGGACAAGGCTTCCCAGAAGCAGTTCGAGCTGGAGGAGCTGATTCTGGAGGTAGGGGCGGGGAGCGAGGAGGGGGGGCACATTAGACCGGCCCAAGGAGGCGGCCTTCTTCCGAGGCAGAGCACGGGGGCTTCGGGGATGGGGGCCAGGGGCAAGTGGCGAGGGATGGGCGCGTCATCGCTTACTGGGGCAGTCCAGCAGTCGGGACGTGGGACGGGCGTTTGAAAGGGCAGTTCAGAGATACAACGAGGGTTTCCTAACCGGCTGGGCAGAAAGCAACACGTTGGCACTTCTCCCGGCAAGGGCACCGAGTGAGGCGGGGGGTCTGCCCCACTGCTACAGCTGCCCCCTCGCTCTTCCCAAGAGCGCTGGAGACGTGGGACGTCATCAGGCTAAATTTGCCACCTCCAAAACTGGAGCCCGCCAGGCCCACTTCCTTGGGAATGTTGCCCGGGGGGGGGGGGAGCCAGAGCAGCCTGGGGGAGGGAAGGAGATGCTGTAGCTGCAAGCAGGGCCTCCCTAGAAATTGACCCCAGGGTGGGGAGGGCCAAAAGAGGAAGGGAGAAAAGGGGGTGGGAAGGAGAAGGGGGCAGGCAGTCCCCCCACCCCGGGTGGGATTAACTGTGGCCCAAAGTAGGATTTTCATGGCACTAGTCCTCATGTCTGCAGCACTGTGTGTGTGAAGATGGGCAGACAAAAAACAGGACCCCTGCTGGATCATCCCGGAGACCCTGGCCCAGGAATCCCTCCAGTGGAGAGCCTGGCTCCCTCCCACCTCTGCCCTGGGGTTGCCCGGGAGATCGGCTCTGATGGTCCGAAGGGGACGGGACCCTTGCTTTCTCTCTAGAAGCCCCCGGCCCTGCTGCTGGGCATGGCAGGTGGGGGCACCGCTTCCCCGCCCAAGGCCTGACCCAGACAGAATGGATCCCCTCCAACGGGGGGGGGGGGGGGCAGAGAAGAGCAACCTGGGCCTGCCTGGAGGAGAAAAGCTACTTTAGAGAGGGAAGCGAAGCTCCCGTGGGCAGATAGTCTGCAGCCCCTCAACGCGGCTCAAGGAGAAGAGCCGTCAGTGGTTGGGTCTCCCCCCCCACACACACACAGCAACTGAATTCACCCGTTTTTATCCCTGGCCGGATGGCCAAAGGGAGCGAGCACAGCTGTTCCCTCTTGCCGGGATTCAAGGTTAAAACTATCCGAGGGAAACGAGGACGGAGCCTGTCTTCCCTTTCCCCCCGCCCCAATTTTTTTTAATTTTTAAACCTGTCTTTCCTGAAGCTTTTGCAAAGTTTGGGAGGCTCCAAGTGACCCGAAACACTGATTGAACGGTGGCATTTAGTTAAAAACTCTGCGGGAAGCCAGCGGTTCAGGTTGAGCTGGAGGGTTGGGAGCCAGGAGGGATAAAAGGTTGAATAAATCAATCCATCTGATTGTTACATTCCGGATCTTCCGCCCAGAAATCCTTCAAGATGCTCCCTGCAATGTTTTCATTCCCCGTCTTCTCTCTCTGTCTCTCTCTCTCCTCTGGCCCTTCTGTCTGCCGCGTGGGGCTCTTTCTCCTAGTTAGCAGCCCAAGTCCTGGAAGACAAAGGGATTGGATTTGGCCTGGTGGACGCAGAGAAGGACGCCGCAGTGGCCAAAAAATTAGGTGAGGATTGACATTCCGGAGACGGCCTCTTTGCACACACCCCCCCACCCCCCCCCCCCCCCGGGGCCAAGCTCATTCGGGGTCTCCGGGGAACAAGCTTCGATTCCGGTGGAAGCAGAACCAACGCCGGAGGCCACCAGGGGGCAGTGAAAACAGCCGGGTTCCTTCAACGGCTGCTTCCCTCTAAGGCAGTGTTTCTCAACCTTGGCCACTTGAAGATGTCCGGACTTCAACTCCCAGAATTCCCCAGCCAGCATTCACGTATAAACAATTTAGTGTCTAGGACAGTGTTTCTCAACCTTGGCGAATGCTGGCTGGGGAATTCTGGGAGTTGAAGTCCGGACATCTTCAAGTGGCCAAGGTTGAGAAACACTGCTCTAAGGGGCCTTTGGGGCTCCCGAGACAAGTAGGTCTTTATCCCCCCCCCCCAAGGCCCTTCTTTGGCCCTTCTGCGCTCCACCTGGGGCCCTGCTCTTGGTCGACCCATCCACCCTGGCATGGGGTGCCCACTTCTGCAGAACCAGGCTGCCACCCTCCGTGCTCCAAGGTCCAAAGGCAATCTCCAAAGGGTGACCCCCCCCCTTGGCCTCCCCCGCAGGGCTGACTGAGGAAGACAGCGTTTACGTCTTCAAGGAAGACGAAGTCATCGAATACGACGGGGAATTCTCGGCCGACACCCTGGTGGAGTTCCTCCTTGACGTAAGTAGCGACCCTCTTCCTGGCCCTCTGCAGCCCCTCTCCCCTCTTTACAGGTGGTGGGGGGAAAGCCTGGGACTGCCTGGGACCAGTAGGGGCCCAGAGTCCCCTGCTTCCAGGCCCTCAGCCAGGGCTTCTCAGCCTCCACCTCCAGGATGTGTGGACTTCAACTCCCAGAATCCCCCTGGCAGTCCCCGTTCCCTTAGAAAAGCCAAGGACACTGGACGTAACCCACTGCCCCCATTCCAGCTGGGCAGATGTGGCCAAGGCCTGAGCCTCCCCCTTTCCCGCAGGTCCTGGAAGACCCCGTGGAGTTTATCGATGGAGAAAATGAGCTCGAAGCCTTTGAGAGGATCGAGGATGAGCCCAAACTCATCGGCTACTTCAAGAACGAGGACTCGGAGCGTGAGTGGGCCGTTGGGGGAGGGGCTCCCAGGAGAAAACGGGCTCCAGGGCTCCTGGGTAGAGAAGCCCAAGGGGGAAAGCTGGGTGGGGAAGGGGACTCTCAGGCTGCCCGATGCAAGGAGGATCCGTTCTGCTGGGGCAACCAGGAGTGACCCTCTGCCTCCTCTCCCAGACTTCAAGGCCTTTGAAGATGCTGCTGAAGAATTCCACCCATACATCCCCTTCTTTGCAACCTTCGACAGCAAGGTAGGTGGCAGAGAGAGAAAGAGGGAGGGTGGGAGGGAGAGAGAGAGAGAGAGAGAGAGAGAGATTTCCCCAAATGGCAAAGGGGACACCCGGGGATTCTCAGTCATGGCAGCTGAGAGGCCACGGACTTCAATTCCCAGCATTCCCCAGCCGACAGCCAGAATTAGGGAGGCATTTCCGAGGGGCGCTGGGGCAGGAGGCCCCGTGGCCCCCGGGGAGCTCTGCCCACCCAGCCTGCCCTCCTCTGTCTTGGCAGGTGGCGAAGAAGCTCTCCCTGAAGCTCAACGAGATCGACTACTATGAGCCTTTCATGGAGAAGCCGGTCACCATCCCGGACAAGCCCAACAGCGAGGAGGAAATCGTCCAGTTCATGGAAGAGCACAAGAGGTGGAGCTGCCCCCCCCCACCTGCCCTGGGGGAGAGTGGGAGGGGGGGCTGGCAGCGGGGGGCCTTCAGAGCAGCTTCTGTGCCTGGTTGCGATGGGGGAGACCGTCCTCGGTTGCCATGGCCACCATCTTCCCAGCATCAACAGCGTCCCCGTGCCGAGTTCTTCTTGGCTTCTTCTTCCTCCGGCTGCCATGGAAACGGCACACATTTGGCCCCAACGGTCGGACGGCTCCCCTCTCCATGCCGGGGGGGCCTTGCACTGGGGCTGCTGGTGATCATCAGCCCAGAAAGACCCCGGTCTCTAGGGACGGGGGCTTCCCAATGGGATCGGATGCCCAGAAAGGACACCCCTCCCCTTATGGGCCTGGCAAAGGGCAAGGGGGGTGGCATTTCCCAGCCTCTGGCTTCGTGCCCTCCCCCAATCGGGGAACACACCTCAAGTGGGGTCTCCCCCTCCCCTCGTCCCTGAGCAGGGGGGGCTCCTGGCACCCACCAGCCCCCCAAGCCATTAAGTGGGCCTCTGCCTGTTGGCCCCTAGAGAAAGAGGGCAGCAGGAGCTCAAGGCAATGGGAAGAAAAGGGGGCAGGCAGCTCCGCACCTCCCCCTGAAACGGACGCTCCCTGCCCAGAGGGTCGGCCCCTAGAAGCCAGGAATGCCAAGGGCCGGCCAATAACGAAGAGGCTTTGCAAAGATCATGGCTGCCACCACCCAGGGAAGCCCTCACTGCTTGGAAAGGGGGGCTGCTAGCTAAATAGGGCTGGGGCTGGCTCATATTTGGGTGGGGGAGCCCTGGGAATCCTTGGGCTGGAAAGTCAACCCCCCCCCTCTGCCCCACTGCCAAGAAAAAGGCCTCTGCCTGGGGTGGGGGGTGTCTGAAAAGACCTTGCTGGCCTCTGCTGCCATCTCTCGCCCTCACCCTGCCCTTCCCCCCCCTCCGTCCGTCTCTTGCAGGCCAACGCTGAGGAAGCTGCATGCAGACAGCATGTACGAGACTTGGGTACGTCCACGGATCTGAAAGTGGGGGGGGGGAGAGGCCCCTCCCCATTCCAAAGGATGTCTCCAGGGCAGAGGAAGCAGGCGGGCACCCGCAGAGTCCCTCCTGGGAGGGAGGAAGAGAAGGGGCCAAAGAAAACCTCCCTAGCTGCTCCCAGGGTTGCCAAGGGGGGCTTCCTCTACGTGGCCTCCCCTCCGTGGCCAGCCCCCCCCCCGCTGCAGATGGCTGGTGGCCTGCTTGTCTCAAAGCCGCTTCCTTCCCTCTCCAGTCCCAGGAGATCCGGGGTGAAAGTGGGGGGGGGTGGAAGGAGGGGAGGAAGCAGACGCTGCTTCCCCTCAACGGAGCTGAGCTCAGCTGAGGGCGGCTGCGGCTCTGCCCGGCTGACTTCTGCACGTGGACAGGAGGAGAGAGGCAGGGGACGATGGGGCTCCAGGCCAGAGCCTTGGACCAGGAGCCGGGCGCAGCGCAGGAGGTGGGAGGGGGTGCCAGGGGCTCACTCCAAATGCACCTGAGGCAAAGAAGAAGGAAGTCGGGGGGGGGGGAGTTTGCCCAAGCCCCCTCCCCAGAGCTTCCCAGAGAGCAGAAAGCCCCCTCCTTCCCCCCCCCACTGGGAACCCAATATCGGCTCCCCATGAATAATAAAGAAAGGACACAAAGCCAGCAATTCTGCTGGAAACAGATACTTTGTGCTGGCCAGGTAGTCAATTATAAAAGCGTTTCCCCCAGTTTCTCTTCACACGTCCAAAGGCATCCAGGGGTCCCCTTTGGCCCCTCCGAGAGACACACGGCTGATCTGCCCAGATCTCAGGCCAGGGGGCTTCTGTGGGGGCCCAGCCAAACCTCCCACCACGGCGGCTGATTTACAAGCCCTGGGAAGTCCTGGGGCTCCTCAGCCGAGCCCCTTTCTTCTGCCCAGGGAAGTTGCCCTGTGGGGGGGGGGTGGAAGGGCTGCTCCTGGGGAAGGGGCCCCAGCTACCTCCACCCGCAGATGAGCCCCCAGACTCCCGGCCTCTCGGGCTGAGCTTCCCTTCGTGGCCAGGAAAACATTCAGGCTGCTCTGCTGTTGTCCTGTCTGCCGAGTGGGGAGGGGGCTGGGGGCTGCTTGCTTCTCCTCCTCGAGTCGGGGGTCCTCCAGGAATAAACAGCCGAGAGAGCAATAAAGTCGCCCAGCGTTGATCCGCCTCGCTCCCCCTTTAGGAAGACGATATGGACGGCATCCACATTGTGGCCTTCGCGGAGGAGGACGACCCTGGTGAGTCCTTCTAGATTTGGGGAGGGGGTGATCCTGTATTGATCCCTCCTTGGCTACCATTTATCCAGCTATAAACCTGGTTTGCGAAAGGGAAGCACCTCACCCTTTCTCTTGCACGCGCAGTCAAGAATCCCTCGGCCTGCAAGGGACTGTCCTGGGCTGCTGGTCCCAGGCCCCCCCTGGGCTGCCCTGGGCCAGAGATGCTCTGGGGGAAAAGGGGAAGTGGGAGGAGGCGAGGGGGGGGGCTCATTCAGGGGCTGCAGGCAAGAAGGCTGCTTAGCCCCCCCCCCTGCCCCCCTCTCTTCAGACGGTTACGAGTTCCTGGAGATCCTGAAGGAAGTCGCCCAGGATAACACAGACAACCCGGATCTCAGCATCATCTGGATCGATCCCGAGGATTTCCCACTGGTGAAGACTCCTTGAAAACGGGGGGAGGGGAGAAGAGAAGCCACACCTTTTCCCCTGGGGCCCGGATCTCCTTCCCTCCCGACCTGCGGGATCTCACGGGGCCTGCTAGCAGCCACGGGACACGGGGGAGGCGTGAGGGCGGCTCTTCTGATCTGGCTGGAGGGCAGGGCCACAGGGGGCCACAGGGGGCCACAGGGGGTGTGGGAGAAAAGCCAGCAGGGTCCCTGGCAGAGGAGGCTGAGGGAAGGCAAGGCCCCCCTTTGGTTCCCTAGGCGTCCAAGGGGCAGATTGAGCATAAGACCAAAGCCCCAAAGGAAAAAGGATTGTGGGGGGGACGGACATCCCTGTAATTCATGTAGAAGAGAAAGGGGCTTCTTACCCCATGGCCCAAAGAGTGCTCCACCCCCATTCCAGCCCCCAACCAAACCCCAGAAGCCTCACTCTCCCCTCTCTCCTTCCTTCCTTCCCAGCTGATCCCTTACTGGGAGAAAACCTTCGACATCGATTTGTCTCGGCCTCAGATTGGCGTTGTCAACGTGACGGATGTGAGTCCCGTCAAACATGTGGCTGCCCCTTGGGTGTCAGAGGTCGGGCCCATGGGGCACAGCCTGGGGAGGGGTGCCTGAGGGCTTCGGGGAAGACCGGCTGGGGGGCCGGCTGGGGGCCACCGGACTGAGCCTCGAAGGGGGGCCAAGAGGATGGGCCGAGAGAGAAGGCTGGACGCTGGAGCCAGCCAGGGGGCGGAGGTGGGGGGGGGGCTGGCCCTGCCCAACCGGACTCCCCCCAGCAGCTCTCTCCCCCGATGTCCCCCCACCCAGGCCGACAGCATCTGGATGGAGATGGATGACGAGGAGGATCTTCCTTCTGCGGAGGAGCTGGAAGACTGGATTGAGGATGTGCTGGAAGGAGAGATAAACACCGAAGACGATGATGATGACGATGATGACGATGATGACGATGATGACTAAGGCCCCTCCCATTTTTCGTGCAAGGCCGGCCCTGCCTGGAGAGCCCCACCCATCCGGCCCTCCGGCCCCACACACAGCCGAGCCCAACAGCAGCCCACCTGGCCTGCACGGAAAGACCCCCGGCCCTAGGCAGAAAATATTTTTATATTGATCTTATTTACGTCCAAGGCCCCCACCGCAGTCTGACCAGGCTCCCTCCACGCAGCCCCCCCCCCTGGGCCCCCCTGCCCTTGACGAGTGCAGGGGGAGGGGGGAGAACCCTCTCTCTCTCTCTCTCTCTCTCTCTCTCTCTCTCTCTCTCTCTCTCTCTTTCTCTCTCGTCTTCCTCCAAAGGCTCCTGTGTCTGCCCTCCGCTTCAATTGGCCAGATGCCAGGGGAGAATGCCACCTTTCCTGGGGTGGTGCCAACTCTAGTGGCGAGCATCAGCCCTACTTGGAGGGCCAAGGGAATTTCCCATCATGCACCTTGGTCCTTGCCTTTGGGGGCTCCTTATTGGCCGAGGCTGATCACCTGAAAAGATACCCCCTGCCCTCCCCCCTTCCCACCCAGGCCTTGGCACCTGATGCCAACAGGTTCCCCCCCAGGCTCCCCCTGGCAACAAGGCGCTCACCTTTCCAGGTAGCTCCATCAAACTCGCTAGGGGGCAGCAGCTTTTTTATAAAGACCTTCAGCCATGCGCAAGGAACGGAAACAGGAAAAGTGATCGGCAAACTTGTTCACGTCCCTTCGAAACTGTTCCCCAAGGGGTCCTTCTCCTTTCACACAGACACACAGACACACACACACACACACGGAAGGGGATTTTGCTGTCCTAGTTCTCAGGAATCGGGAACCGATCTTTCTCTGAACTCTTTTGGAGTTCCATTTTTCAGGACCATAAATTCTGAGTCATTTTGCTGAATTAGTTGAAGAAGAAGCAGAAGAAGATGTGCCAGCAGTAAAAACCAGATGCAAATTAACTTTCGGAGCTTCGTGGAGGGAGGGGAGGGAGAGAGAGATTGGGGCTCTGTTTTCCTGCTCTCTCGAGTGAAGGAGGGGGGGAGCCAGCTCAGAAGGCTGTGAGGGGCGTAATGTACAATATGTATATTTTTCAACACCTTTGTACAGATCAAACCAAAAGTGATTAAAAAAAAATGGAACAACAAAAGGGACTGGTGAGGTATTTCCCTCCCCCTCTTGCCCCTTCTTTGGCAAACAGCGTTTTTTTGGGGGGGTCAGAAAGTCTGGAATATTCTGTGGTTGGGGGAGGGGGGGTTAGAGAAAGAGTTCGATTGTCATGGAAACTGTGCACCCCAAAAATGGCAATGCTCCACCCCTCCCACCCTGCCAGGGAGCCACGAGAAGGAGCGATTAGAGGGCTTCCAACTCCAGAGGAGACGGAAAAGCCAGGCGGCTCCCACGGATGCTGGGGGCCTCTGGGGGCAGCCCAAACAGGCCAGGGCCAGCGATTAAAGGCTATTTCCCCCCCCCTCTCCCCCAGCACTGCTCCTGGACGGTCTCTATGAATAATATATGCTAATCAAAGAGGATACTCAGCCTCCCCTCCAAGCTTTCATCTCTGGCAGTGGAAAAAACGCTGCGTCCATCCATCCTCCCGGCAGCACTTAGGAGCCCCCGGGCTCTGCCCTCGGCCCAGCACTGCCCTCGGCTGCCCCTGGGAGGGAGGGGGCTGCCCTTGCTCCCGTTTCACAGGAGGGAGAAATGAGGCCAGGAGAGAGAGAGAGAGGAGCTGGCCAGGGAAGGAGGGAGGGAGGGATTTGCCCTAGAGAAAGAGGGCAGAGACTCAGGGAGGAGGGCCGGCCCATCTGTGGTGCTTCTAGAGGCCTTTAATTAAGCCTCCTTGGCCAGGGGCAGTTTACCCCACTACAGCTGCCCACGGTGGACGGACAATCCTTTGCTTTGTGCTGCTTAGTGGAAGCAGGGGGGCAGGAGTGGGGTGGGCTGGCCCAAGGAAAGGGGCCAGGCCTGTCCCCATGGAGAGGAGCCCTCCCTTGCCCCACGAAGAAGGGGTTGCGGCGGCCGGCGGAGCTCCTCAGCAATTCCTTCGGCGAATCCCACGTTCCTATCAGAGCCACCAGCTTTTTCCTCCCTCCCAATCAAAAATGCATGAAGAACATTGCCAGTCTATTAATATCAACCCCGGTAAAAGCTTTCTATGCACGGGCGTTGTGGGTGATGGGGAGACATGGGCAGCAGAGGAATCCATCTGCAGTGGGGGGGGGGATAGGTAGGGAAGGTTAAACTTGCTCTGAGCTGCCTTGAGGTGGGGAGAACCTTCAGGGTGGGAGGGGGTGTAATAGAGGCAGGGGGCAGAACTGGCAGGAGCCCCTCCGGAGTTACTACCTTGGAGTAACCACCCTAAGTCTTCCTAAGGAAGTGACAAAAAGGATGGGAGGACTGTCTCCATCACTGCTGGGGGGGGGGCGGCATTTTAAGGATGGGTAGTGGTGGCGCAGGGGTGAGAATGCAGTACTGCCAACTGCCTGCAGTTTGGCAGTTCGAGTCTCACCAGGCTTAAGGTTGACTCAGCCTTCCAGCCTTCCTTCCGAGGTAGTAAAATGAGGACCCAGATTGTTGGGGACAAGAGGCTGTGTAAACCGTTTAGAAAGGGCTGGAAAGCAGCATGAAGCGGCATATAAGTCTTAAGTGGTATTGCTATCTTCTAATGCCCCTCCTTACCTCCAAAGTCTGCTCTTTCTCCCTTCCCCTCTCATACGCTCAGCCACCCAAGCAATATTTATTTATTTATTATTTATTTATTTATT